AGAAGCAAGAAATGAGAAGTTGCTCTAGCAGACTATCAGTAGCAAGAGAAATTTTTAAAAGAAAACTAATAAAAATAGCTTGAAAACTTTGAGTTTTAATAATAATAACAAAATAAAGGGTAAAGTGAATAGTACCAGGATTGACTTTTTAGTGTAAAAATGTGGTTTTTTGTTAAAGTGAACGGGTTTTTTGTTAAAACTCCCAATTTTTAATTGTGACGGGAATACAAGTGGTACACCACGTGTTTTAATATAAGTAATGAAAAATTTTATTTTTTAAGTTATTAAATTTTTAGTACATATATTTCACCATTTGTATAATAACACGTGATGTACCATCTCGTATACCGGTTATCTTGAAAAATCTCTTCCGAAGCAGATCAGTGTGTATTGAATCGATAAGCTAACTGCTTGTGTCCGGCGCATATTAAATGTTCATGTACTATTCCCATGCACGTGGATTGCTTTTCGGACACCGTTTTCTTGGCCAAACCCTAAATCTTTGGCTGTGGGTCGTATTATTTTCTAGTAGTTTCTTGTGGTTGTGAGACGAAAGATTTGTTCATATTTCAAGGCTTTGCCTAACGGTGCGATTAGGTTAATGTTTTTTTTGTCTAAACGTGTTATTCAGTCTAACAATGTAAACATCTTATATATTGTCAAACTATTTGATTATACAACAACGTTCTTCTATTTATTTACTTGTTTGTGACAATGCAACCGCCATCTTTTTTTAATATATGCCGGTACAGTAGTAAAATAAAGATCCTATATAATATAAGAAGAAAGATAGCATCACGCACTATCCCACATGCAAATGTAGTGGGACACTGATTGAATGTAGAGTTGACAATTACAGATCAACTAAATAACTTACGACAAGTAAATAATTGATATATAATAATTAGTATGCAAGTTCTAAGCGTAAATCACGTGACATTGGTCTTGCGTGGAGTTGTGCACGAAATTTGGGATATATTTTGTCATGCCCATGTGATGTGGAGTTATCGCATTTTATATTGATGACAGATTAATCTTCTTTTTTATATAGTTTTGGTATCATATGAGACGGCATCCGAATCAAATGGTACGTTAAAGCTAGTAATCCCAAAAAATGCATCATTACAGTTCAAATTTGGATTAGAAGTTTGAAACCTTTACTCGTTTTTCACTAAACCAACCATTGGGATTAGCTCAAATATTGATCCAGCATTTCAACGAAGATGCTAGTTTATCCGTTTGGTCACTTGCGAATTCATGCATATCTAAACTCATATGGAGCTTTCATGCACGTAACTGTGAGCATTCGTACTATGCCAAATCCGAAATAATTAAGGACTCTTCCCATATAATGGACATGACAGATCTTTTTCTTTGCAATCTTCTTGACTATCTGAGATGGATTTAATCAAACGCAAATCAGTCGAAGTTGGAAGTTTCTAATCATGTTGACTAGACTCATTCCCTACGTTGTAAGAAATTATAAATCAAACGATAGGCGGGTTGATTACGTATCTTATAATTTTTATTTGATTATCTAATAAAATATTGAATATAGTCATTTACTTTTCAGCAAGAGTCCTATTTGCAATATGTTGATACAATACAATATTGACAAAGTAATAGTAATACAGGTAATATAAATACACGTTAATGATGTGGTCTGATATGTCTGGTCCTTCTAATCCCTGTAAAGATAGTCATGTGGACTTCTACTTTTACAAAATAAAAAAGAATAGGATTAGTGGGTGCCAATAATCGAAATTGGCACGTATCGTTTGAAATAAGGGTTTAGAATTTGTCTCCAATTCTTGGATCACCTCATAGTAGAGGTAGATTGTTTGCCCTCCTATTTGGGTGTACTTTTTATCATTTTCTATTTATGTGATCACGGTTAAACCATGTCAATATTTTATATTTCTATTATTTTTTATCTTATTATTTCTATAAAAAAAATTAATATAAAATGTTAACATGATTTAACTATAACCGTACAAAATAGAAAAGGATGAGAAAAGCATTCAAACATGAAGGCAGAAAATCTGCATTCCCCTATAGATGTTACTCATGTACGGTTCAATGAAAATATAATAAACCAAAGGAGTTTTACACAGAGCCACGTATTACTTTCATCACAATCAACAGTAATGTGACACTTGGTGACACCGTGGGAGGCCTATGGTCAGTCGGATATTTGTAAAGCGGTGGTCCATTGTCTGCTCTCATATATTTTCATACTTTTCGTACTTTTTTGTGATGTATGGTCACGGTTAAATATATCAATATTTTATATTAATTTTTTATAGAAATATTAAAACAAAAAGTAATAGAAAAATAAAATATTGACATGGTTTAACCGTGACCACATAAACAAAAAGGCATAAAGAGAGTATGGAAATGGAAAGGCAGACAATCCATCTCCTTGTAAAGGAATTATTTGTGCTTCTGAAGTCTGAGATAATCGGGAGCTAATTTCAATAGACAAAATCTAGACATGGAAGAAATTTCTACGGTTGAATATGAATAGTCTAATAAGACTTCCTTTACCCTATAGACTCCTTTTTCCTGTATTATCTTTCAATTGGGAAGAGTGCAGAGTGTCAATTGCAACTCTTATAATGCGTATCAAATTTGTTTATTTTTATGCACAGACTTAGTATCTTGCAAACCAATAAAGAAGTTGAGAATGTGACTCAAACTCGGAATCTCTTACAAAGAAATATTTGATATTATGTTTTTGAGGTCCACTAAACATAAAAGCTTAACCTATTGATGAGCTGACAATGTATGTTAAACTTACGATTATACATCATTATAACGTGTCGGGAGATATACCGTTAGATCAAACTAAGAAATAAGATGCTGATTTATTCGTATACATATTGTGCAATATGAATCCAACTAATATACCAGGACCATGTGAAGTATTTGACGCTACTTCTTCTTATGCTAGCCTTTTCGAAATCATCACTCTATGTCTTTTGAATTTTATCTGGCTATATTTTAGCAATATAATTCATAATCTGATGGAGGATGAGGAAAACTATCCATCCTGTAAATTTAGGAGACTAACTTTTATAGTACGAGACGTTACAGTGACGATATTTCTGTGGCATACAAGTCATTCTCGAAGTTTAAGGTAATGTTAATAAAGACAGTAAATCGAGACAAAATTAAAAAGGATAAGATTCAACACGTTCGTATGAGGATCATCATCCAAATCGGAGTCCATTTGGACTTTTGGGAGATTGTAGTTGAAATTAAACATAAAGCTCCCCATATCTGTCAGAGCCTCAAAGCTAGCTCTTGCGGCATTATACATGTTCACATAGGATAGGACTTGAACAAAGAGGTTTGTTTTGTTCGATAAGGACGACTTTTGCGTTTAATCCCCACCCTCATCCCTTTGGGGCACTTCAGAACGCTCACTTGGACTCGTCCTAATCTTTCATTTGCAGTTGACTTCGTGCGCCAGTTTATGCATTCTCATAGAGAATCACACTTGCAGGCGGTTAAACGTATCTTTCGATATCTTAAAAGCACTCTTGGACATGGCTTATAGTTTCCCAAAACTGCTTCACCTCTCATACTTAAAGTCTTCACGGTATCAGAACATGTTGTTCCACGTGTAAAGTCAAACGGTCACATGAGCTCCACCTCATCCTGTTGTGTTGTTCACTTGTTAGGCTCGAAAATTCGCCACACGTGAGGGTGCATGTTGAGAATGAGTCCCACATTGATAGAAGAAGAGACCTTGTATGAGTTTATAAGAAGTTGGGCTACACCCCATATTGCCAATTAATGTTATAGTGGAATCTCAACCCCTTCAAGGACTACATTGCAGATATGCTGAATTCCTTCAGCGGCTGCTAAAAAATGACACGAAATACACGGATTTGAGTTGGCCATAACCGCATGACAAGGTTTATATAGAGTTAGGTTTATTATAGAGTTCATGTTTCTGGTCAACCTGTTTAACGCAAAAATGACACATTTTAACACATTTATATGATTGTGTAATCCTTGACTTGTATACGACCCAACACGAGATAAACTATTCAATTGTGTTGGATATTTTGTGGGCTATGGTTTAGAAGAACATGAAAGATAATGTTGCTTCAAGGTACGTTTTGAGGTTATTTTTTCATACAATATCTTGCTCCCCCTTAGTTCAATGGGGAACTACAAATATGCCTTGTGCATGTACATGAAGTCCGAATTCAATCCACGTTGAACATTGTTACGCACTACAACTTGAACCAAACACCAAAAGATGAACGTCTATATAAACTAAAGCTGCGTAAGTCATCTCTATACATAGAGGAACAAAGTTTCCTCTCTAAATTGGCATTCAAACCATTCAAACAACGAGCATCTTCAGCTGGTTAAGGCCTCAAAACATTTTTCCTTGCACTCGAGGTCCCGAGATCAAATCCTCCATTCCACAATATCAAAATCTAGCTAGTCCTATTTTTCCCCAAGCCATTGCTACATCCAACGCAGGAGAGTTTTATGGTGTAGGGCATTTCCTTTTTTCGGTTTTGTTGTTGTAGCCTATGGTAGAGAATGATATTGAATTGGCGACGTCTAACGTGCGGATAATAGACAAAATGAACTCAAAAGTATAAGTACATGAACTGTGAGCCAATTTTTCCTACTTAATGCAGCCTCAAACGGCCAAACGGCCCCCTGGCCATTTGAAAGAAGAATGCACACATCTAGATCGACGAGGAGTTCGGCATTAGAAAACTTTTAAACCTAAGGACAACCCCACAAGGTAATTTGAAAGAAAATTACCTAAAATGCAAAGGTAAACCCAAGGAGTTGACACGAATTTCAGGACTGTTTCCTTCCGAAAGAATGCTTTTATCCATTGCACCAGCTCTGAAAGAACCTCCTAACGTATATTTCTAGGCAATTCTACATGCATAGGTACTTACTGGGATCTTCAATCACAAGATAAGAAAACATAATTGTAGTATGTAACAAGGAAAAGTATGTCAAAGATAATCCACACGTACGATTAACATTATAAAAGAGGCACTAAGTTAATAATTTACTGAGTAACTAACATTCTCGTAAAGGAAAGAAATAGTTACAGCGTCATCCAGATAACTAACTATACAGGAGCAGACATGAGTTTATTTTGGGAGAGATGTATCTCAACCCCGAGACATAAGAACCTCGAAAGAGAAGAAACAGATACAAGTTGCAGCTTAGACCCAGCAAGGCAACTATTACTTACCACCTCTACAAGAACTTCTCTATGCTGGTGGATAATGTAGATTTGGGAACAGCACCAATAACGGCATCCTTTTTCTCACCACCTTTGAATATGATGACAGTTGGGATACTTCGAATCCCATACCGGGTTGCAATTGAAGCGCTCTCATCAGTGTTAACTTTGTAGCATTTGAGCTTCCCAACATATTGCTTTGCCAGTTCATTAATTATAGGGTGGATCATACGGCAAGGCCCGCACCACGGAGCCCAGAATTCAACCAAAACAGGGGTTTCAGAATCAAGGACAAGTGACTGCCATGTTGCATCACTAACAGCCGGCACTGCATTTTTTCACAAAACATACTGTCAAAAATAAAACTTCTTAACAACCAAAAGTAATAGACAAATATGTGAAAGCAGAACGGCAACAATCAGTCCAATGCTTTGGACATTGATTGTAAAGCAAGCAACAATCAGTCCAAAAACACCGCGTTGTACATCAAAACTCAATTTCGCTCATAAAATTTTTGATATTTTCAGTCACAAAAATTTCAACCGCTTTTATACTTCATCTATTGCCTAATAAACAGGTTTCTTCTTTGTATACTCTCACAAGTAGAACACTGAAAAGTAAGCATGTATGCATACATAAATTTGCTCCATATCTACACGTTGGTTTAGTTCCAAATCTGAATTACTAAGATTCATGCCCGAGTCCCTAGATTGATTATTCACTTCTGTGTTTATGATCAGTCATCATGCATTCCATCAACATTCCACCTGAAATCAAACATTTAATTTTGGAAGATTTTGGTCAGTCACCATGAACTATGTCCCTTGACAGTCTCACCTGTGGCTTGTCTTTAGCTACCCGGTGGTCATTTCAGCCCAACCAGCCTAACCAAACAATCACAAGTACCCACAACTTGAAATCACCAGATTAAGCTTGCCTACGAATCCAAACTTCATCTTCAGAACCATTTGATTACGCTTCTAAGGCGAGCTCATCCTTGGTTCCTACTAGCTTCCTTTTACGAGTCCATCCCAAGTTTTCAAATGTTTCAAAAACCAATACATTTCTTCAGTATCATATCATCCATTTCCCATTTCTTTGCGATCGGTAACTTTCATTTTTTAACTTTCTAAAAACAATACCACTAATCACATCAACTTACGCAATACTCGGAAATTGAGTATAAAACTTAAACCCTATCTTCTCAGCTAATGCAGAAATTAGAGAGTAAAGGTCATTTCTTGGCTGCAAGTTCTAAAATTCCACCTTTACCAAATAAACAATCTCAATCTATCACCTTTCAACAATATCTACACAAAAATTAAATCGACTATGAAACTTAAATCATCTGCTGATTACTAAGAAACTGAAGGAGAATTAAACAGAAAATTTTCCAGACAACCAAACACGTATGAAACTTGAAATAAAATTAAAAAACTTTGAAATAAACAAAAGATAATTGAAATCATGACTGAAGATGGCGAAATTACAAGACTAACCTTCCACGGCGGTGTCCTGAGCCTCACAGACGACGAGTCCACCACGGCGGCTCGCTCGTCCGGAAGCAGGACCGTAACTCAGCGATCCGCCGGAGCGAGTTCGGAGAGCCGATCCCACCTTGAGGCCTCTGTAGCGAGGCAACCGAGCGCCGGCGGACAAGGACGAGGGCGAGGAGGGAGCCGCGATCGGAGAGAGCGCGGCTGAAGAAGGGAGAGCGGAGGATCGGGGAGCGACGACGGAGTCGAGGACTGTAGCCATGACCGCAGAGGGTCGGAGCTCTATAGAGAGAGATGATGGAGACGGAGCAGTTGATGGGGACGGAAAAAGCAGCAGCGAGTGGACTGGGGAGAGGAGGAGAGTGTGGGCAGCAAAGGTCAATGGATGAGAGTCTGAGACGATAACTGAGGACGAGTGCGGAGATATCCTGCTTTGATTCTTTGCAATTTGCGTTGTGTTAAAGTCACCAATCATACTATGACACCTCAGTACTAACGACATTTTTTATTTTTTATACTCTATAATATGGTTATTTATTTTTTACATTTGCCAATGTAAAGTAAGAATATGTTAGGAAAATTAAAATTTTAAATTAAATTTGTAAGTGCTATTAATAAAAAATAAGAACGTTAATCGATATTTAATTATTATTAATTTAATTATCTACAATCACATCATTTGGTTTGTAAATTTAATTTAAAATTTTAATCTTCCTAGCATTTCTCGTAAAGTAATACTCTTTATTAATTTACGAGGGAGAAATATTTGAATCATGTGGTGAATTGAAGATGAATGGTCTAATCATCAAGGTTATCCATGTGTTTATTTGGAAACAATAACACTTGGTGAGCAGTGCGTCACATGAACAAGAAATATATTTTTTTTTAAAACAACAATTAATTTAATACTTTGACAAAAATAATAAAAGTGTAACAATTTAAAATTTTACATGTTATTTTTCCTAAATCTAAAAAGGAAAAAAAAAGAAGAACATGAACCAAAATACCCCCACCCAAAAGTTACGAAGGTGCAAAATGTGACATAAACAAATGTAAGGCGTTTTGGCAAAATGGTCTTAAGATTGACATAACTCTTCATTTTGATCATTGAGATTTGAAATCAATAGAACTGGTTCTTAAGTTTGTCCGCCGTCAATCACATTGGTCATTCTTGAAAAATCTCTATTAAATAAATATCAAAATGACAAAAATACCCTCAATGATGGAAAGTTTTGATTTTTATTTTTTTCTTATTTGACGGAAATTTTTTATAGAATGACTAAAGTAATTAACGGTGGACAAACTCAGGGACAAATTATATCAATTTTAAATCTCAGAAATCAAAGTGAAGAGTTATGTTAATCTTAAAGACCATTTTGACAAAAAAAAATCTAAATGTAAGGATAACTATCTTTTGCAAGTTTGTTTTTGTTGGAAGAGGATCCGGTTTGGATCTCTCCCATCAAAGGCCTAGGATCAAGTAATTCGGACCGTTGAAATTTGATCTAATAGTTACAAACAAGAGATCTCTCTAAAAGTTATAATAATTGTAGACGTTGGATCAAATTTCAACGGCTCGGATCACTTGATCCTGGGCCTTTGTTGGGAAAGATTTGGACCGGATCCTCTTCTATTTCTTAGGGATCCTAAGGATCCAGCAATCATTTCATCGTACATCGTACGATCAGTTTTCGTTAAGTACTATTTATATACGATGAACGAGTACGATTGCATAATCTCTAGAATCTCTAATATTTTCCTATTTGTGGAAAGCAGGCTGAGGAAACTGTGGCAGCAATTTATTACTTGAAAAAGACGTCGGAAATTGCTCCTTGTCTCTGCTTGATGCCTTTCACATCATTCTTGTGTTGTTACCTTCAAACATATTTATTGTTAATTCTCATATTTCAAAAACTTAGATTTCTTAAAAAAATGTGTCATTTCCAATGTCTATTAATTTTTCTTGGTGTTCTATATACAACGGCATGTCTTTTTCTTGACCTATGTCATCTACTGTTGCACGTTTAAGATTTAAGAGGTATGCAATAGGAGAAGAGCAACTTACATGAAATAAATTTATTACAATTATAACTTTCGAATCATCATACATTGTCATATAGAATAAAAGTTAAATCTTACAATAAATTATTAAATTAAAAGGCTACGTGATGGTGAACTCTTTTCTCCTCCTAATCTCCATCTCATCGGATCATGCATCACGAAGTTTATAAAAGACTGCTAAAAGTAATGGTAACTCCCGGTGTGCATGCGAACATATCACGAAGATGGGAAATAGTGGTGCTGTCCTTCTTGACCTAATAAAAGTAGTAGCTGCCCTTTTTTTAATGATGGTTATTCTTGCTATAAACAAAAGTTTTTTTATTAATTTATAATATTGGGAAAAGCTTTTAACTTCAATTTCCATGAAAAAAAGAAAGAAAGAGAAGAATGGATTATAGAAGAGGACAATCGGGTCAACAAGAAAAATGCAGACCCTTATAAATTATTTCCATGCTCTTATCGTGTTATATTTTGCACACGGACTCTCAGATTGCAGATAGATACACCATCACCAATAGTCCATGACTTGTCAAAATAAACACAATTAATAATTTAACCAATTAAAAAAAGTTCAAATTACTCATGCATTTGTGTGTTTGACATCGATGTGGATTGCCTCATGAAATAGCAATAGAGCTTTTCCAAATATTTCTAACTAGTGGTTTAATTAGACAACAATTTACTTTGAATATAAGAGTTGCTAAGAGTAAAATTTGAAGAAAAAAAAAAAAGCCAATTGTATGGAAAATATTTCTTGAAGGCATATTTGTCAATCTTATTTAGTGGTTTAGTAGGTGTGGGAGAAATTTTTCGCCTCGGCTTGAATTGACAAAAATCTACGCACAAAGAAGAGACAAACGGAGTAGACTAACATCAATGTGGTGTTAGCCAGAGTGCCTATGATGCAGCCTAAGTAGTGTAAGAAGTAATAAGAGTGTGTTGAGAGTTTTTTATTACCATAATAAGCGGTTGACCTTGGCTATTTATAGAGAACTGATCAGTTAACTCTAGCACCCATTTCATTGAACCTGATAGCAGATTGTTACCTAGTCTACACATTGATGGGAGAATATTCCTCTGAGATTCCTGGATTATGCTTTCAGAGAATCTTGACATGCTAGGAGATTAACAGGCAAACCCATTACACACTCTTATTGGACCTTTTGGGATGATTGGGCTCGGAGGACTATTGATTGTAGGTTTTTAGGACCTTTGTAGAGAACTGTGGCCCGTTAGCCCGTTGGGATTTAACTAATGGTTTGCATATTTTGTCAAGGGCAGAATAGTTATATTTGATAAGTTCTACACGTGGCGTGTTCCTATTGGTCAGATATTTTAGGTTCTCATGGTAAGTACGAATGATCAAGATCAACCTCCGAGACTTATTCTAAAGTTTCTTTCTTATTCCGCAATTCGAACCAAATAAATTTATTGTTTTTTTTTTCCGCACTCCATTTGCATTAGAAATACAAGAAGACTTTATGAGCAAAAAATGGGTCTTCTTCATTCACAAAAACTTGGTTTAAGGTTTATCAATGTTGAGCGTGATTCGAAGCTCTTATTAATTGCATTCTGCATCGCAGTCTAATTTCTTGAGTCTATTAGTTTTAGTCATGTTTGGTGGAAGACTAATTTTATCGCACTCTATCCCTTCTGGTGTAAATTGGACATCCCCTCCGGCTAGACATGTGTTGTTGTATGATGCTTTATGTACAGGAAGCCCTCATGGCTATCGTGTTTAGTTTAAGAAAAGGACTGTACACACCTGTTTTTTACCTCAAACGCTTAATAATTTTTGTTCATTCATCTTCTTCAATTATTTAAAAAAAATGACACTTTGTATCCGGTCCTTAGTTAGTATAATTATTTGAGTGAAATTCAGTTTTTAATCAAGATCCCTAGGCTTTGTACACATCAGCATTTTATTATTCACATATTTCCATGTCAGCTTTTTGTTTTATTTATTAATTTTTTTAATTTATAAATTATACTTCATATCACTCATTATCACAGCAAAATAATGGGAGAGCATTGTAGCAGAAATTCCCAAATTTCAGTCCCCCAATTCAAGCTATTATGTTTTCGATTATGGTTTGTATCCAAGACAGACTTCATGAAGTCTGTCATTGAAAAGCTGATGTGAAGTCTCCATGTATGCTAACAGAAAAGGTACCCAATGCATTAAGATTGTACCCACGCCTGGCCTCTTAAGGCTCATAAAGTTAAAAAAAAAACTTATTCAAACATTTTTACAAACACTTGTTGTGCATACCAGAAATTTGCAGTAAACAAAAATACAAGCTAAAACGAAATGCTCGCATATTCAAATACAAGTCGTTAATTGAAGATACAAAAACACCTTGTTAAAAAAGAAAGTAAAAAAATAACCCCCTTGAACTGGTCGGAGGATCTCCAAGTTCCTCTGCAAATGCAATGCAGTTCTTCTCCGCTTGAAATACCTCTGATTGGGTAGAACTATGGTACAAAGATTACCCATTTAAAAGACTTACAAGGTCTCTCTGATGTAAGAAAAAGCGGACGTGGTATCTTCAAACATTCTGCAAAAATCTGCGTTTGTTTGAATGCTCGTGGAGAACATATGGGTACGGCTCAAATTTTGGCGAAATTTGAATTGATGAATTTGAATGCAAACGTAAAAACCAAAAACGGAATAGCCTGAATTGGGCAACTGAAATCTAGGAGTTTCAGTTACAATGCTATTTAATTATTTTGAGAGTGCTAATGAATGATATGAGAGATAATTTATAAATTTTTAATAAATTGAATAAAAAGCTGACATGGAAATATGTGTAAATACTGATGTGTACAAAGTCTAGGGACTTTGATCAGAAATTAAAATTCAACAAGGTTTTAATCATAGCATATTGGCAACTAGGGCTTGGATTCTAATTTCTTCACCAAAAAAAAAAAAAAAAAACACAAGTTGAAAATAAGAGTAGAAATCATTACTTTTCTTGCGTTGACATACAAATCCTATCGGAGCTTGTGAAAGCCAATCTAGGAATTGGATCCGCTCCGAAGCTTAGAGATCAAATCATCTAGACTGCACAAATTCAATCTAATGGTCCCTATTAACTTATTTTCCTAGTTCACCACACAAAATCAACGGTTTTGATTTCTTTTACACACCAATCAGTGGTCCATATAATTTGATCCCTAAGCTCTGGATACTAAGGTCCGAAGCAGATATAATTCCGCCAATATAAACCCTGGCACTGTTGTTTCATTTAACCCTACATATAGTTTTTCCTTTTCATTTATTTTCTATAGTTTGTACCTCATGGTACTTAAAATCTCATTTGTACCCAATAATAATATTGTCAGTCAAAATTCAAACCCCCACCAACTCCCTCTTTCTCTCTCTCTCTCTCTCTCTCTCTCTCTCTCTCTCTCTCTCTCTCTCTTTTTCTGAGTCCTTCCCTTTCCCTTTTTGTCCTATTTTCTTCTTCCATTTTGGTTTAGACTCCATTACTTTGATCACAAGACATGGAAAAAGCTCTGAAACTCAAAGAGAAGCAACACCAGGGCCAAGCCATGCAAATATCGAAGCAACAACGACAAGAACCACAAGACCAGATCAAGCTTGCTGTCACTGCCATCACCCTCAATGCACGGTTGAGATCATCTGACATGCCTGCCCACATGCAAAACCACGCTCTCCGCCACACCCGATCACTCCTCGACTCACCACCAAACCCCAAAACTCGTCTCAACCCAACACACCTCGCTCGAGCTCTCAAAAAGGTACATGATACTTTCAATCTCTTTGTTTCTGGAGAACAGCAACGGTTCATTATCACACGTGGAGTTCTGGTCCAATAATGTAACGTTATGTAAGAGAAACTTACAGCATATCATTATATTATTTGAGCAGAAAGCCACAAGAGCGATGAGCATGTTCCATGTAAGTCTTCTCTGTAGTTAGATTGGTCTGTGTTTGTTTAATTAATCTGGGTTACTTAACTAAATTTAATGAAAACGTAGGAGTTTGACTCGGTGTATGGACCGGCGTGGCACTGCGTGGTGGGGACGAGTTTTGGATCGTTCGTGACTCACTCAGCCGGCGGGTTCGTGTATTTCTCTGTCGATGAATCGCTGTCGGTGCTTCTCTTCAAAACGGAGGTCCAGTTGGTGACGGAACAACGACCACCACAACCATCTAAGCCTTCAACTTTGAGTCCTTGTTGAGAATTTTGTGTTGACTCGTGACAGACGTGTTAGTTGTGATTACTCTCCTTCTTTGACTAGCATGCCCCATAAAATTTTCCATTTCTTTTTTTTTCTTCTCTTTTTCTTTAAAACAAACAAACATGTTTGTGGTGATGACCTTTGAGCTTTATATACAACTAGCCTCTTGTCACACGTGTGTGGCAATTGGCCTTTTTATATTTATTTTATTTAAATAATTAATTTACATATTTTAAAAAAATTATTTTAAAAAAAAAATAGAAGAAGAAATGATCTAAAGACGTGAAGCCATTCATTAGTGTGGGAGGTTTTGTTTTTTGTTTTTCTATAATTTTTAAAATGGTTAAATACTTTAGCTTCTTTTGGTTCAATTGTAATTTTCAAAGGGCAATTTATGGTATTTTGAATGTTTCACTATTCTAGGATGCTCACTTTATACGTATATATATATATATATATATATTACAAGTAAAGAACAGTGGTTTAGTGTTGGCTGTCCTTTATTTCAACTTTAATTGCTCATTTTGGGGTTTTTCTTGGGATAAAAGTTCTTATTTTTTGGCAAGGGGCTTGTAAGTCAGTTGTTTCGATTTTGAATTCGTTATTCCCAATATCGCTTGTATATAATAACAAAAAAAAAAAAGTTTTGACTTTTTGTCACATCTCAGCCTGGGCCCGCACCACATTCAGGCTCGACTCCGTCATAGCACGATATTGTTCACTTTGGGTTCGGACCACGCCCTCACGGTTTTGTTTCTGGGAACTCACATGAGAACTTCTCAACGAGTCATCCATCCTAGGATTGCTCTCACATGAACTCGTTTAACTTCGGAGTTCCGATGGAACCCGAAGTCAATGAGCTCCCAAAATGCCTCGTGCTAGGTAGAGATGAGAATATACATATAAGGTTTACAGGATTCACTCCCCTGGACGATGTGGGATGTTACACTTTTGGTCCATGTAGTACAGGGAGAGAATACGCTTACGTAGATATCAATTTTCGCAATTTAAACATGTAGTTTACTCGTCCTTGCATTTTAAGCACGATGGCTTGGCTTTGTCTATTGTTCGACAAAATTAGCACGTGAACGACGCGTAAAATCACAACTTATGCTACTTTCGTTAGAAAATTTTGTTGAAACTGGGTCATGGTTGAAAGTTGAAACAATGAGTAACACGTAGGGCCAAAACCCATGAGTACCTAATTTGTCTATTTGATCTTAGTAGTGAACGATCAGGTATTTCCATTGAATGGCAACAACCCAACCAAGAATAAGAAAGCTAGATTCTTTTTCTTTTAAATTTCAGTATAATCAATCAACAAATAAAAGCAAAATCCCCCACCATAAAAATGATGGATGAATTGGTATAAAAAAGGTAATTTATTGGTACTAAAATATTGATTTTCACAACACCACATCAAATTAAAATTTTACCAATACATTTAGTGAACATTTATCAGGAAAATCATTTTTGGACTAAATTTGCTAACGAACTGCACTACAGGAGTTTAAATACAAATTTTTTTACCACGTGACCTATCTTCCAAATATCTTGTAACCACATGGACTATTTATCCGATTTGACCAAAAGTGAAACCACTGAGACTCGAATGAAATTGCAGTCGTGATGAATGTTGTGAAAAACTTAGCCTCGCTACTTTTGGATGCTTGGCCGTGAAAAATGTAGGGAAATGATGACTTCCGGCAAGGTTGGTAAACAAAGTCAGAGAGAGAGAGAGAGATTTGGTGTTCATTGAGAAGCCAAATCAAGGTCTTTTCCATTACATTTTGTACATAAAGATTCATGAGTGACAATTTCAGTCTGCAAATTCCAAAACTACACGCAAACACGAAATTTAAACCTCACAAATCCATCCCAGTGGTCCTCTCTCTCCCCCTCCTGTGTGTCATGTTCATCTTCCCAAAATTCATATCTCTATCCTTCTGGCTTTTTTGTACATATAAGAAAGATATTTTATATTAATATTTTAATTATTATTTAATTGTTATTTTGGTCAATTTCTTCTGTTTGTTTGACTAGACCTCAACCGTCTTGTATTATCACAATAATTACGAGTCTACGGAAGACATACTCTTTTTTCCATGGTCTGATATACTGCTGCAAACTACAACTCCTAAGACAGGTTCCTTTCGCGCATCAGAGATTCAATCTTTTCAACATCTTCTGGGGTGTCAACACCGTGAGCCTCATGGTCGACCTTAATCACCTGCAAACGTAGAACCATGTCAAGTTTTGGACATCTACATTTAAGCAAAAGAAACCGTCCACGTAATCACATCCTCGTACGTTGGATTTTTCACGTCAAATTTGACGAGATCCACTACCTCAGGCAAAAGATCTGAAATTTTCAATTCTTTTTCCTATTGGATTGAGGGTAGTAGCGTTTGAGAGTGCCATGATAGTGACTGATAGCATTTTGACGAACTAACTTATTTAATCATCGTACGGTATTGAATATTCATGCCACCGACATAAAGGACTTCATACCCATGAAGCATAGTTATATTTATTATATCAAGTTTTATGACTGCATCAATGTCAAATATGACTTGAATAAAATTAGAATTTAACATACCACAAAACAAGAAGAAGAAAACACGGGTAAGATCAACAAAATGGAACAAGAAAGCAACGCAATGTCATGAAAGTAGGGAAGAAGAACGGATCTTTTTATACCTTCATCTTATACCCATTTTCAAGGACCTTAAGCTGCTCCAGATCCTCTTCTAGTTGCAAAGGAGTAGGTTGAAGTTCTGGATATATCTTTAGAAACTTTGTATCATAGCTCTGAAAATACAGGAGCGGAGAGTAATAAGCTCACAAGTTAAAAACCAGTACAAATGGTATAAAATAATATACGATCATGAACAATGCAGCCATGCACAATTTGTCACAAAGTAAAATGTCAATCTAATACCTGAATTCCAAGATGAAGCAAATAGGGAAACTGTGGATTGGCCTTTCCTGACCTGTATCAGAGGACAATTAGTCAAGTCTAGCTAAATAATTTCATGAAAAAGCTTACTCGCCATAATATAAATAATTTCATGAAAAAGGAAAATCTCTTACCCGAACCACTATGATTAAAGATAGAACACAAGAAACAGAAACAGATAAGCAAAAGCTTACTTGTTAAATGGAATCAACCCCCTTGAAAAGTAGATGGCATAACCACTATTATTCACCACACATTTCACTCGATTTGGATCCATTGCATCTTCAAGTTTTAATGACGTGACGGCAGTGCTAAACACTGCATCTGGAGCTGCCTGACAAGATCTTAAAAAAACCCAGTAAATAACGAAGAATGTCATCACATTCGAAATCAAGAAAGGAGAAATTACTTACCTGCAAAGCTTTAACAATTCCATCTATTATCTCAGGTTCAATAAGAGGCTCATCCCCCTGAATGTTGACAACTATATCATACTTCATCTCGAGCTTCTCAATTGCTTCAGAACAACGCTCGGTACCTTTAAGTTCAGAAAACAGAACATAAACTACCCTAAAATGTAATTATTTATGTTATCCGAAAACAAAAACCAAGGTGCATACCGTTCTGGCAGGATTCCGAGGTCATTATGACATCAGCTCCAAAACTGCGACAACATTCTCGAATCTTCTCGTCATCTGTTGCCACAACTACACAAAGGAAGGTAATAATAAAGTTTCGCACATATAAATATAGAGAGTTCACTTCACAAAATTTCATGAAGCCTTCTTATTGCTCTTGTAGGCATTAAGCAAAACTTAATGCCATCACGAGTATGCAAGCGTTAAGGCCTAGAACGGAAGGTCACTTAGGTATTAAGAGAATTGAAGATTGGACCAAAGCCTACATCACATCTGGTCTATTTAAACCAACCTAAGTCCTTGGGGTTGCTTCGTTTATCGAAGATCTCCACAAAGGTGAGTGTTGTTCAGAGTTTAAAAATGCCTCAGCTGGAACAAGCTCTTGAAGCTACGAAAAAAGCCAGACGAATGGTTTCCGACTCTGGTCTTCCTCTTTCAACCAAAATCAAGGATGTTACTTGTACTGGATACGGGAATTGGACAAGCACCACATCGAATCAGCTGGCAGAAGTTCAGATAGGGTGCTTAAAGTTCAAATGACGACGCGGGGTTTTGGATGCCTCAAAAAACTTGCTAGATCTAACGAAATGCCTCAACAATGTAGCTACTGTCTAACAATGAAATCCGACAATAAATACGAAACTAAATAGCATGGAAATCAAATGAGTAGACATACCAACATGATCCAATGTACTTGCTAGTTTTGCCCTTTCCCATGTTCTCTGTTAAATAACATAAAAAATAGTTACATGTCAAATGTTTCCCAATCACAATACCAAATTCCCAATTTTTTATTTTATTAGGAAAAAAAAACACGACGCTTTAGATCCAAGATGCTTAAGAATCCCAATTTTTCATTGAAATTGATAACAAAATTCAAATTTAGACAGTTGCCATTTGACATTAGATATCAAAAATTTCTTACAAACAAAGATTTTCAAGAAAAAAAAATCATTAAATTACATGTTTTTAAGGTAAAACGAGGTACCTGAATCATGGGTTTTCCGAGGATCTGAACGAGGGGCTTGCCCTGGAAACGAGAAGAAGCGTAGCGAGCGGGTATAATGCCGACTACCCGGCTCCGGAACTTCCTAGTCGGACCCAGGTAGGCCCGGGCCCCAATTGCCGCCGCAACCGCAACTCCGGCGACGATTCCGTGAACGATCCATGCCTTGGTGCTGTTCCAAGATCCAGACGACGACGACGACGACAGGCACGACGACATTGGGATGATGTTGATCTCACTGAACAGAGTGAACGCAGCCGTCGTTCAGTTTGGTAAGATTTCTGGTTTTCTTGGGGTATTTATACTTTTCACCTGTTTGAAACGGGTCGTTTTGGGTAATTGGAAGTTGGATCAACCGACTTGCACTTGATTCTATAGGGCGTTTGATCTTATATGTCTATCGAGAAACGAATTTGGTTGCTAACGCTTTGGCTCGCTTGAATTTATCTTGCAATTTGACTCTAGTATTTTTTCAGCAAGTTCCTCCATTCTGTTCATATTTTCTAGTTGTTAATATAGCATGGATCACGTGTTCTCGTGACATTGATTTTTAGTTGGAATGTCATGTTTATTATTTAGAGTTTGTTTGATGACTTATTTTAGTTTTTAATTTTAATTCTCAGTTTTAAGTTTTCATTTTTTTAACAAAGCTGAAAATCTGAAACCCAACTTTTGAAAACTAAAAAAATTAACTCTCCATTTTTTATTTCAAGTTTTTAACTGAGAATAGTTACCAAATAAGTTTTCAGATTAGAAAGAAGGTATAAATAAAAAGCAAAAAGTTAAAACAAAATTATTATCAAATAACCGCTTGAATTTTCAATCTGAATCCCAGCCCTTACCCGAATATAGATCTCGAGCCTAGGCCCTAGGTTACTAATGCCCAAGTGTAAAGTTCCAAGTCTCCAAGACAGGGGTTAAAGTCTAAGGTCCAAAATTTGGGAGTCGATGCATAGAACAAGTTAGCAAGTAGAAAATTTCCTCACACCATTCTCCCACCCAGTGGGATTGGTAATTTGGTACCCAAGATGAGATCATGTTCGGCAAGAGAAGTAACGGCGTTAAATTTATCTTTCCATTGAGTAAGAATTAACAACATAATATTAAGTTTCTGTTACATTTCCGAGCGAAAAGAAAAGGCAACTCAACGGGCTACATGTTACACTCGGATCACTGCACCATGTCGAAAAATGAATAGTCTCCCCTGCAGAACATATTTCAATGTTCTGCATTGCGGGTATGGTAAGTAACTCATCGGAAGCTCAACACACGCCGGTTATGCATGTAAATGCTGTAAATGAGCAGTCAATGTCAGCACAGATAACAGAAGCCTAACTCAGTACTGCATTTCCATTCTGAGTGAACGGCAGCATGTTGCGTAGCGTCTTTCGTCAATGAATGGCAAAGCTCATCGGACCTCCACTAGCAGTGGAAAAGAAAATCAGCCACCTCAAGAACATGGCAACTTACAGGCACGAGAAGGATTCTACCGAGTCCATGCACCACCATAAGGACCAAAACTATTGGCACCATCTTGGGAATGTCTCCGTCTCCTCATCTTCTTTTTTCCCTTGTCTTTCCTTGATCCATTTTCCTCATGCCTGCTCCTCTCTCTCCTAGAGCCATTTTCTTCATATCTGATCTTCTTCCCCACCTCCCCATATTCCTTGCCCTTCTTACCGGAATTTTCTTTAAAAGAAGCTTTTCTCTTTTTTCCTGATGATTGCCCACTGTCACCTGCAGCAGAATCATGTCCCCGTGGCAGGGGATCATCTCCATCATCAAATTGCCAATTGCCCAGTAACTCCTGTGGATCATGTTCTAGCTGAACTGGCTCCCCTGCTCCAGGAAGCAAGCTATTGAAAGTTACCATTCCAGGCCCCCCTTTGCGTTCCACCAATGCCGAATCAGGCCTAATTATAGTACCGAGAATGCTCCTGTTTGGCCCTAGGCCCATAATGACCTTAGGGTTTGTCAATGTAGTGTAAGCCATTGAAAAAGCTGATCTAATCTGAAACATATATAAAAAATGACGTGAGGGAGGAAATGATGGGAGGTGGAGTAAGTAAATGAGAGATCAGTAAATTATAAGATTTGGATTTGCAAGTGTTGCAAGCTAACTGTCTAACTGCTTGAAGCCAATGAAAATGCACTAGTGCAAGTGTGCGACCATAAACATATGGCACTCAGGCACCTCAGACATGTATTAACTATAAACTGACATGTCTGCTCCAGAACCTTTGAGGCCTTATGGGCAACAAAGAGCAATGTATGCGAACTTTTGTGTAACTGCATGAGCACATGCACACACAAAAGATCTGTTTGACAAGTACTACTGAACAACAATCGCTTAACCCGCAGCTGGTCATCAATCAAATCGACACTTTACATCATTAAACTTTATAAAATGTATATTAAGGTACCCAGCGGAAAAGTGGAGGGTGAGAGATCATAAATCATTCAAGCAACCTGAAAATAGTTGAAGGAGTTCTTCCCGACGTCATTCTCCGGTGCCTATATAATAAAACATAAAAAATGGTCAATTATATCTGAAGAAAGAAACAAGGATCATCACCCCTATTGATTTAAGTTCTTTCTGATCCCTGACACTGTTCTGCAACAGGGCCCAGAGAAGTGAAAGACTGTAATTTACTAAAACAGCAGGTTCACATAAAATTCATTATTTTTGACCATGTCAATCAACTTCCTTGCAAGCAAATAGTTAACTAGAGTAGGGATTAATCCAATTATTCGGAGGCCACCCTGGGAATGTCAAACTAGCATTACTTATACACATGCTAACTGGAAATAGAAAAAACCAAGCAGCACTTCAAAGAAAGAAGATAGCATAATTAATTAAGTGCTTTGATTTTTCCAGTCTCCTACAAAATAATCATTCAGAATGAAATCACGAACTGACCTGGGGGTCCTCAATGGCAAGAAGAAAAGGTCGTCCATTGGATAAGAACCTGAGAAAGGACCAATCAATTGCATCAGTCAGCTATAACTTTGATCAAAAGAAATAATCAAATTGTACATTAAAAAAAAAAGCGAGAGAGAGAGAGAGAAGAATCTGAGAGAAAAATATCATCACTTTCTCAAGAAGGTTGTTTATTTTATACCCTTTTACACTCTTTTTGAAAAAGGTGCCTGCGCCATTGCACGATACACCAACATCTGAAGTGTTCAATTTGCGTCCATAAAAATCAAAGAAGTTTACCTATTTCAGAAACAAACAGATAAACGAAAACATAAGCAACAGACTCACTGACTTTTCATATCCCTTAGACAAATCCTATACTGTGATATGAGGTTAAGAACTAGAACAATGAAGTGAATTCTATGGTCCACCAAATTCTGGTTACAGTTTACTACAAACCCTGGGATAGAGTGCAAGTTATTTGACTTGTGATTTTAAGCAATAATAAAGGTCCAAAGTTTTCTTTCTACTTGATCTAGAAATACTTACCAAAAGAACTCCCAAGTTTTGTTCCGGAGGTCGACATTCCCTGAGGCTCTGTAGCATAAATTAATATATAAATCAGGGATGAAAAATTTACTAATCATGAGGAAGTTGATCTATTTATCTGAATTTCACAATTACAGAAGTTGTTGGTTGCTTATCTATCATCCAAACACAAGATCATATTTTGTGTAGCACTATTTCATTCAATTTTCAATAATTTCTCTTTGGATCTCATTTGCAATCTTAGGTTGATCCATTGTCTTCCACTGCAATACTCAATGAAGCAGCATGTTTACAGATCCAAACAAGAGCCATGCATTACAGATATATACAATGCAAGAAAGAATCGCATCAAATCTTAATATGCATATTTAAGAATCACTCACATGCAACATTGCCATGATCATTGTAAGGAGAGCGTAGGAACCTAATCCACCAGAGTATACCTGCATGTGTTATCAGAATCTTGAATTAGCTCGCTGGAAAAAGAATAAAGAAAAAGAAAGACAACTTAATCTGTTAGACTGGAAAGTCATACCTCATTTAGCTCTCTCTGTTGTAAAAATACTTTCAAAATCAAACATAAAGGCCGCAAAGGAGGCCACTTAGATACTGCATCCTGAAAAGGGACCACAGGATAGTGTCAAAGGAGACTGGAGATAGTTAAGGTCTCTTGCTTTATATGTAACCTATATACTATAACTGATTCCTCACGTAGCTTTTCTGTTTTTCTTTTACTAGGTGAAAGATATTGTTTGATATTCTCTGACTTTCCAACGTTTAACTTAGCAAATTAATAAAAAATTTAATTGCACAGCTTACCAAGTTATCATTTACTACTGCTTGCCACTCTTCTGTAATATTCTTTCACTACAAACATTCTTATATAACTATTGTTCAAAATACCATAACTACATATGAAACCATATTAAACAGTGATCAAAGCACAAAGTTGCAAACGACAAGGTTAACATTGTCTAAAGGCACATAGCCAGGCTTTGATCTATATTAAAGAAACTACAATATTCTTTCCAATACATAGTAGATGACAGAATATGCAACAAACCTGAATAAATTCAGCAGCTTTTGGTCCACCTTCTATGTCAAAACTGTGAAGGAAGATATAAAATTATCAATTTACTTATTTGAACATGTCAATTAAGCTGAACCTATCACAGGCACTGCTTATCAATACATTGTAGTATTATTAAACCAAACCATATTGCCAAAGATAGAAGAGTAAACCTTATGTCGAATGCAATGCCACTTGTTTTCTCTACAAACTTAATAATGGGTACACGAGCCTTTCCAATCACCTGCGGAATCCACATAGAACAAATACAGAAGCTGAAGTTTGTCCGCAATAATATTTCAAATAAAACTTGAGGCACACCTGTATCCTTTTTGCCAATCCCATCTGTGACAATGCCCTAGAAAGGGCCTTCAATCCTTCCTGTGGTGTTTTGACGCCTGACCCCATAATGACAGCCTACGAGCAATACCAATCAACCAAATGTGTCACTTATATGGACACTTGAGCATGCATTATAGACAAGAATAACAAAATTCAAATGCAAATTCAAACTTCAGTTCCTAACTTATACTAGCATAAAGATCAACATACTTACATCAATATCACTAGCGGGAAGATATAACCCCGTCTTGAAGGACCCAAAAACTTCAACCTATAAAGCAACATTCATTGAACAACATTCACTGAACTTTGTCGTGCTTAAAATCACACACACCCGCACTTCTGCACCCAAACAAGAAAAAAGAAAGTACCTTGGACCGAGGAAATATATATTTGATAAGGTCCGAGACCCGTTTTACTGCTGCACTGCGTGCCTCTTGTTCTTCTGGAGTTGGAGACAGAAAATCACAGAAATCCACAATCTCTGCAATATCCAAAACAGATACACAAATCTGAAGTTACATATATACACCAGATTACAATTACACAATTTTCTCCTTAGAAATACATTGAATTTCTATACAAGTAAAAGAACCAAACAAAAAATATGAGCTTTCTTCTCCGTGTATAAGTACATATATGTATGTATGTATGTATGTATGTATCCATGCAGTTAAAATTGCAGAAAGTACCTTTATGAAGCTGAAGCATAGGGCTCCTGAATTTACAATGGCCGCGAAACCACCCGCTCTCGAGCTTCGGCTCTTGAGGAGCCGGCGTCGTGGGCTCGGATTGGTGAAGCGGCGGCCATGGCTCGGCTAGGCGGACAGAAGACAAGGAGGCACGAATTGGGTCTGGTTCATCGGCGGCAACGTCGAGGGAGAAGAAATCGGGGGCGGCAGTGTCGACAGGAGCGCATTGGGGAGTGGAGAGAGTAATTTCGTTGCGGAAAACGGAGTAGGGTTCGAGGTCCTCGGGCGGCGGCGGAGATTGGTTGGGGGTGGGAAGAGAGAGGGCGGGTAGGGTTTCGTAGAGAAAGCTTTGGGTCGGCGGCTCCTCCATGTTACAGTGGTGGATACGGCCGTACGGGAATTGGGGTTTGCGAATCTTGTGACTTGTGAGGGTTTATACTTTGTAAGCTGTAACCATGTTTCTTCTAACAACACAAAGAAACTTGAATATTAGTCAAATAATGATTCTGTTACGTACGGGAAATATGAAAAATAATCTCGACAGCACAAAATAAATTTATTGATATACATATGAATTTTTTTTGTCTATTAGACCCAATGTATTAAAAGACGGAGGTGTGGACAAGCCGTTCCATGAATAACCCCGTCTAGAAGCGAGACGAAGCCTTACGAGACCTTAAATAATAATGGACTACGAAGAAAAACAGGGGAAACATGAGACTCTTGAGGTTTTAAAAATAAAAGAAAAACAGACTTGGCTAAAACGATGTCGTTTTGAGTCAAGTCGTTAAAAAAAAAAAATTAAAGACTTGGCCAAGACGACATCGTTTGGACCAAGTCTTTAAAAAAATAAAATTCCCTCCTCTTCTTCTTCGCTGTCGTCTTCCTCGTAAAGACGTCGCACACCTTGCAACCCTAAACCCAAATGATAGAGCCTTCGACTTCGATTTACCCAGACAACAGAGCATTTGACTTCGATTTGGATCGCGGATGGATCTGGGAACGATTGCCAACCATCTAGGCTCGCCTCAACCATGCCTCGGCGAGTTTTCACCCACTCCCATTGGGCAGAGGTGTTGTCACTCCTGCCCTGCCTCTAAAGCTGCTTAGGCGAGCCTTGGGGTGTGTCTTTTAAAACACTGATTAGACCTTTTTTTTTTTTTTTTTTTTTTTTTTTTTTTTGTCTAGTTCTCTTTGCTTCATACCCTTTAAAATCTACTCGAGTTCATCTCTTTACTTCTCCAGAAATAGGGAACCAAGTAAAATACACACAAGATAAACAAGATGGCTCACCAATCACTCGAGATGGGCGGCTTCAGTTGTTATTGAAGAGAAGATATTCTTACTTTTGTTGTTTCGACCACTTCGACCATACGGCCCATAAACAAAAAAATACGCCTAACGCACCCCTCCCCGCCGGCCCCATTTTTAGTCCCACCAAACTCCACTCTCTCTAGGTCCCGCCCTCCTCTTTCTTTGCCGTAATCCGAGTTCCGGACATAAAAATGTCTCCTCCATGTAGCCTGAATTTACTTTTATTTCCAATTAAAAAAAAAAGGTCTTGTACATAAAGTTAAATACGAAAATGGATTCTTAATTTATTTTTGATGTTCTTGTTTAATTTTCAAATCAATTGTATAACATAAGACAAGTAAAAATAAGAAATTTATTGTTACCTCATCTTGAGATCAAATTAAGCACGCCATAAGTTTTTGGTTGTTGAATTAGTAGGGCATAGCACACAACCATTCCTCACATGTCAAAAAATAAGATCATTAAAAAAACAATTTTTTTTAATCAACATGTGTCAAATAATAATATCAAGGAATACCTATATATTAAAAAGGATTTTAATGATAGATTTACTAAGCAGTGATGGTATAATCTTTCTAGTTTTTGGTTTTTACAAATTGTTCACCATTTCCAACAGCAGAACTTGAACCTAGACTTTGATTTTGCAAAAAAAATGATCATTACCAACTCAATCAACCCTTGTTGGTGGTATAATCGTTATATTGCTTCAACCATTGTGGCACTTAGAGGGGGGAATTATGAACTTATCAATCAAGTAAAATTACCTGCCTTTAGTTCTTCAAGTACGATTAATTACGTAATTTAACTACTTCATCCCCAAAATTCTTACTCACAACGTCTCTAACTTCTACTGTTTGTTGTGTGCAACAATTTTTTCATAAAGTGACTTTCAAGTAGTTGCCTAACTTCAATTCTTCTAAAAATTACCAAAGTTTTTGTTACCAAAATAATTATGTACAGTGCCAGCCCCTGCCAGGTTATTCCTAAGAAGCAAGGACTATTTTACATAGGCAAGTTATTTTCTAAAATTAGAATCCAAAACAAATGTAGGTGCAACTCCTCTTGCTGCACCATGTATATAATTTTTGCTGCTACAAATTTAAAAAAAATGTGTTTAACCACAACATTAATCAAGTCGGGCGGCGACGGATTATACTGTAGCTTCAGTGACGGAAAGTATTTACCCCTAAATCTGAAGCCGGAATTTGAACTTCTACGATGTCCTCCCCACTTGACCTCCCAATCGACAATCAAAGTTTGTTCACACAACCAATAGTCCTCGTGTACAACATGTTTTATGAAGCCTTCGTTTCGGAACCCGGTCCTCCTCTATTTTCAGAGCTTCCAACTAAGATCATTGCATGCATCTCAATAGTCGTTTTGTTATTCTTGATTTTCAATCACATTCTCAATGTGTCCCTTGCCTGGCTCCTAGAAATGATCCCAGAACATGACCTTGAGGGAGGATACATCATTTACGGGCCTCGAATAAACACCATCGGTTCAAGTCCCCTTCAGATAGCTATAGCGCAAAATATGCAGCGGCTGGGAGTGATAAAGAGACTCATGCCGGATTTCGATGAAGGAAGAGGGCCGAGGCTTAGGGCTTTGAAGAAACTGCCACCATTAGTGAATTATGGAAGCTGTGAAATAAGATCATCAAGGTGTACTGCTTGTGCAATTTGTTTGGAGGATTTTGCAGATGGTGATTCATGTCAATTTTTTTCACTTTGTAACCACATTTTCCATTCGAATTGCATTGATAATTGGTTGATGAACAAGCCAACTTGCCCAGTTTGTCGAAACTGTATCATCGATGCATGACAAATTTATTTATTTTTTGAATTTTGAATTTTTGAAAATTGTATGTTGTGAATCTGTCAAACAACTGTAAATACCAACATTCTTTCTAAGGCATGTTAACAGTTTGCAACCACTTCAGCAAACACTTTAAGTCAAGCAATTACCCTAGTTTTGGGTTTTAAATGGAGCTTTGTTCATATATTCGATTCTTGGTTTGCAATCATATAACGAATTTAAATTAAGGGAAATTTTATTGGCACTCCAAAAATCTCATTTTGCACGTCAAACTTTCTATAATTAGAAATAAAAATACATTTGTGAGGAGTGAGATTTTTTGAGTACTAATAACAGTTCTCTAAATTATTTAGATTAGTAATCAAGGCCTCCAATAAGGAAATGCGACAACTCTTTTCTGAACTATAACTTTCACAACAAACTATAAACCTTTTGATCTTAAAGTAGAAATACCAACATGTTATTTATACGAAATATGAAATACAGAAAATCTCAATATAGTGTTGAAAAATAAGAAAAATAAAGAGTTTATATTATGAAAAAAGGTATATCCTTTAGGAGGAAATAGTATACAGGTTTTCTTGTACTTGTGTATTTAGGTTTACTTATTCAACTACGACTTATTTATTTCCCTGGTGTATAAAAGGAAATTTCTAAATAACTTTTTAGTAATACTTGGCTACTTAATTAGTAATGAGCAGGAGCTCCTGCTTAAAACTGTTCATTGTCGATTTATAAAACTTCGTGTTTATGATTAGAATCGTTCATATTATAAATCACTCTATAAAAATGGCATTTGCTAAAAAATAATTAAAACTAAGGTAGTTTAGTCATCGAACTGTTTAAAGACAGATCAACGAAATTAATAAAAGCATTACGAACCATTTATGTATTTGCTACAATAGATTGACTAAATGACCTTATTTTTATTTTTTTTGCAGAGATGATCTTTACATAGTTATTCATAATATGAACAGTTCTAAACACAAGCACAAAATCTTGTGATTCGACATGAAAAGTTTTGAGTAGAAGTTCCTACTTATCTTTGAATAGCCAAGCATTGTTCATAATTTTTTAGCACATAACTAGAGGTCAAGGGTCATGGAATAGAGCTCATTACAGGAAAATTCAAACAACCTAATCTATTATCATAGCAAGATTTCAGAGAAACGGGTAAGCGAGTGACTACTAAACACACTAATGCTATTTTCTAACTTGCATCTTACCACATCAACAATAAAGCAGGTGTGAGATTTTTATAAAAAAAAATCCCCGATGGTAGAACCAGTCAGTATAAGACATATTTAATGGTTTTTTTTTTTTTTTTTTTCACAATTTAGGATTATTGTATTCCTTTAGATCGTTAATACAAGTATATGCATGGTGTGTTAGTTTCTAACACGAGTAAATTGAATTTTGACATGATAAACCAGTTTAATTAGTATTATATGAAGAAAAAAAATTAAAGAGTAATTAAATGTGTGATAGGTGAATGGGAATGATAAATATCACTAGCTAGAGTGGCCCTAATCCTACCAATTTGGGGTAAATAAAATTGTTAAGTTTCTAAACTCAAGTTTGCATCATCCTTCCTATAACTTAGACTTTAGTAATTTAGAATACCGTCCTTTAATAAAATAAAATAAGCTCCCAAAACGCGGTTTTTTTTTCTTTCTCTTAGTTAACATAGAAATTAACCGTACCTGAACAACGAATTTAACGATCTCCAACGTCTATACCTGTAACAAAGAGAAAATAACTAACCACTCCAGAAAAGGGGTAGAAACAGAGTTTCATGTTTATGTCATCAAAACAACTTGCTACTTTCTCTACTTGAAAATGTTTGTTTAAACCGCAAAATCTGGAATATGGGTCTAGCGGTTTTGCCGTTCAACAACTTCATAGACAAATACCAAGCAAAGCAAAGCATCCATGTTAGATTCCCAATCCTTCTTTGATCATAGATCGAGCAAACACTAGCAATCTCATTCTTCATCACCATGAACATGTTTGAAGCCATGAAGGTCGTCACCCCACCTCCTGTTTTTTCTCTTCTTTCTTTCATCAGCATGATAGTTTTCGTATATGTCTGCATCATAGCATTCTCCATCATGCTTTTGTTGATCGTCATTGCCCTCCTTTACGTCATCTGTGAGTTTGTTTGGACGCCCTTTTACGAGAGGAGAAGTAATCCTGATCCCGAAGCCGAGGATCAACAACAATTATCTCGTCCAAACAACGGTGCAGCATGGAATGACCAAGCTACATTTTATCAAGCAGCCGTCCTTCATAATTTAAGGGTTTTGGAAATTTTGGACTCGATTGTTGAGGTTTTGGAGGAAAGAAGAGACGAAAGGCAGCAGCGAGTAAGGGAACAAGTTTTGGAGAGCAAAATGCCACCACCTATAGCTTATGGAAGCCAAGAAACTGAAATTAATTGCAAGGATTGTGTTATTTGCATGGAGGATTTTGAGAACGACCAATTGTGTCAAGTTTTTCCCTCATGCAATCATACGTTCCATGCCAATTGTATGAACACTTGGTTGAAGAAGAGCCTAACTTGCCCGATTTGTCGTAATTCTGTATTGGATTTATGAGGCAGCATAAATCTAGGTCAAAAAAATTGTAGATATACAAGAAGTTTAATCATTTATTGGTTCTCTTGTCGTCTTCAGCAAGATCCTACCATGGTGCCGGGCCGTTTCTTCCATATGTCGGTAACTTTGAGGTGATGAAGTTGTGAAAGTAAAATGCGATGAAGGTTTTGGTTCTCCGGCGAGGTAAAGTGGACAGGATGGATGGTTGTTTGAAACAAAATAGGTTGTTTGGGGAAAGTTTTCAATGCCACTTAGGTACGAAGGTGGGGTTCGAATAAGAATTTTCAAGGGGTTGTGTCTCAAAATGATGCATTTGGCTGCATCTCATGACTTACATGAAATGGAGAAACAGGCACCCTAGAATCGCAAATCAATCATGGGACGACAAGCGGAAAATTAAAACTTATGGCGATGTGTAATTGGTTTGCAGCACTAAAGTGGCAGTGCCCCCTTTTATTTATGCAAGTCTCTATCCTAGAAGTGAGCCGCTACGTGTGATTGAGTTTTGATTTCGCTAGATTTTTCTTTTATGCCATGATCATGCTTGATTAGTATCTCACTTTTGAAAATGGATGTAAACATTTTCTCTTCAATCCCATATTGTTTGAAGAAAAAAGAAATTTTAAATGCAACACCTTTTGTTATTTGTTAATTTACTTGATACTTATGAGAATTCGTCCAACTGACGTGTAGGTTTTTGTGTTCAATTCCCAAAACAAAAATTAACACAAAACATCCGTGTTTACCGAGATAAATTATTTGATTACTCCTTACTCATAGTGGATCATGATTTCTTTAAGGAAAATAATTTTTCTTTTTCCATCCACATCCATGCATGTTTTTGGCATTTGAATAAAATAAAAAAAAAATTAAGAGACAAAATTCAAAAAGTGTGCAAAAAAAAAAAAAAAAAAAAAAACCTATAGTGTATAGATATTACTAGAAAGTTTGCCCGCGTGTTGCTGCGAGATTGTCAAATATATTGCAAGTATTGTATATAAATGTTACATAAGGGAACAAATATGTTGCAAGAATTGTGTGTAGAATTTATAAAACATGTACCAAGTATTTGCATAAAATATATAGTTGTTACTTGTTCAAATTATAACAGCTTGTACAAACATGAGTTGGAAATTCACCTGCCTTAACTTCTCCACACTTTACACACATAGACCCTTATCTTTTTTGGTGGTTTAAAAGCTTGCAAATCACGGGAGGTTGTCCATTTTGTTACAAAGATGTAGAACCAAAAGATATATTTTATCAATTTTCAAGAGCATAGATGGACATATTAAATTGTATGTAAAGAATGTATAGCAAAATATCAAATAGCAAAAGAAATCTCAACATAACTCTACCACAACAATAAGAAATCTCAAATAGAAAAAATCTACCAACTACCATACGGATGATTTTTAAAATGAATAAAAGACTATCCTATTATGGAGAGCTTATACCTTTCACTTGTTCACTATTCTTATGAGTTGCAAAACACAACCAACAAAAGAAAATCAAACAAACATCAAAAGAAAGGTCATGCCTAATAAGAAGGTTTCATTTATAATTATTTCTATTTCTACATAAATACGAATAAATTAAGCTCCCAATGATCTGCATAAACATTTGCAGGGCCCTCTTTTCTATTGATGGAAATGACTAAAACAGATTCTACCCATGTCTTAATAACATCAATTATGTGTTGAACCACCTAAATCGACTCAAATCACGGAAGAAAGGCAGTCATCAGCGTTCAAGCAAGTGAAGCAAAAAAGAAAAGGTAGGACATATGAACATTGTGATTTTGTACCATCACCTGGACAGTCTTGCCAACATAAAGGCAGAAGACAGAAATGAATGAACTCAATTCTAATACGCTAAATGTTTAAGGTATATACATCATGAAAGTCTTATGAATAACCAAATTATCTGAAGTTCAAGATATTGGATTAGCTACATACAAATTTGGAGACAAAACCAACAGATCTAGGCTTGTATAGCTTGTAGTGAATAATGTTATCAATTGTTCCAGCAGTGTCACCAATCTTAAAAGCTCCAGCTTAAATTCCTCCAACAATAGCTGGGCCAATGACAACCTGTAAAAGATACGATAATTAAAGTTAGTATCGCCAGTTCATTTTCCCAGGTTAGTGAAATTAAGATGACTTTGCATCAATCGTGTAACCTTGTTGTTTGCCAATGCATATGCAATCAATTGCTTAGTGTCTGACTCAGGTATACCTTCAGCAATGATTGCCACAACTCTAATGGTTGGTTGCTTGAGAGTAGCTATGGAAGAAGCAGCAGCACTGCAGATATGTCAACATACATTCATCGTTAGGTACAACCATATAAGTTTTGCACTCCAAAACGCTACTCATAGAATAATCACCGACCTTCTATATGAAGCAAAGTTGATTAAGACATCAGTAGTAGGATGTGCGGCGCATGATGCTTCAATGCTGCAACAGTTATCAATCCAAAGGTCAGACAATCTCGAAACAATAGATCAAGAATGGTAATCTGACGAATAACATGATTTGAATATATTGGATATGGAAAAGTAAGATTAACCAAGCATACATGCATATACATAACTATACAAAAGGTGGCTTGCAGCCACGAAAGACGAAATCTAGGAAGAGGATGAGAGAATGATGACTTACTTTGAGTGCACTGGCCACTATGGCGATTTCCTCTTGACCGAAAAATAGCTTCTGAAATCCCTCTGAACCGGGGTTAATGATTCCAGCAACTGATGATGTCTCCCTCCTTATTACAAACCTCAGTTATTGCAATTACATCTTTTTCAAAAACTTAAAACTATAAGTAAGATCAAGTTCGAAGTCAAAATTAGGAAATGAAACACACCGCAAAGGAAGTCAAAATCGAGTTAGAAGCACCTGATATATCTTGTCAGTGGTAATGTTGTTATCCCTCTTAAGAGTCACATCTAGGAAGCATTCATAGTTGCCCAGGTCCAAATTAACCTACAATTACAATTAAAGTTTAAACAAACTCAGCAGCATAAAGTTTAAAGATAAGACTAACACTCAACATGATACCAAGATATAATCCAGAAATAATTAAAGATATGATTAAAATTATTTGTTCTAATCGAACATATTTTTCTAGTTTTCTTATCCAATTAGACAATTGCAGTTCCTAAAACAAAAAATAATTTGTAGAAAGAAAATTAGAAAATTCGAACTTGATAACAGTCTACCTTAAAAAACTCCATGACCGAGTAACAACAACAACAACATTGAGACATAATTTGGTAAATATATATGGTGGACAAATTTAACAACTTTAGTACTGTTAACAAAGCTTCAACCAATACAACATAAATCAAATCAATATATACCTGCATATCCTGAGTCCGAATTGTAACCTCGTGCCCTACAATGTCTTGGTGAGTGACTCCTGCTTAAAATCCAAACAAAACAAAGTCTGTAATTTCAGTTTCCAACACATTTAACTTTTACAACACACAAAAAATCAAAACTCTCATCATTAGAAAACAAAAAGGAAAACTTGAAATTATATACCTGAAGCACAAATGGTTTGCAAACGCATATACAAAATTTCCAAAAAACAAAGACAAACATTTCCTGAAATGAAAAGAAAAGCAAATCATAGAGCCAAACCGAGAATCCGAACATAGAAATAAAACCCCCAAAGTTATGAAAACAAAATTTAAATGCAAGACACATTTGCAAACAGAAGACCACCCCAAAAAAATTTAAATATTGTTTGACAAAAAGCCCAAAAGAAAAAGTAGATTTTATATACAAACCTTGAACACAAAGGGCTTGCAAAGTTGCACATGAAATCCCCAAAATTGGGACATGAGCGTTTCCTGAAACTAAATAAGCGCATATATCAAACCCCCAAAATGAAAAAGAAAAGAAAATTTAAGACAAAATCCATTAAATCAGATACATTGGAAAAAACGCAAAACTCACTGGAAGAACACTACCGTGGAAGAGAAAAAAAGATAGGTTCGAAAATAAGCAGAAAGTGAGAATGGAGAGAAAGAAGCGAACGAAAAGAAAAAGCTAAGAAGAGGTTGGAGACGGAACAATAGAAAAGTAGAAATGGGTATGGTAAACAGAACAAAAAGCAAACCTCACGATGACCAACACGTGGTAAGAAAGGCCCTGGTTCCCCTAACTTTTCCAGCCTCCTTCCGTTAAATTCACAAAGGCAGATTGTCTGCCCTCCTGTTTGAGTGCTATTCTCATAACCTCCTATTTTGTGCAGTCAAAATTAAGCCACGTCAACATTTTATATTGATTTTTTTTTATAAAGATAATAAGACAAAAAACAATAGAAATATAAAATGTTGATGTTGCTTAACCGTGATCACACAAATAGAAGGGGATGGGAAGGGCACCCAAATAGGATGGCAGACAATATGCCTCCTAAATTCATTGTGTTTCACATTTTTTAAATATTTTTCTGGTCTTCTCACCAGCTATACATGGGTTTAAAAAATTAAGAAGGTATAAATTTTTATTGTTTGTTGTGCCACAAACCATGCGGCCCGGTTTTAATCACATTTTTTTTGTCTTCCCACCAGCTATACATAGGTTTTAAAAATTAAGAAGTTATAAATTTTTATTGTTTGTTGTGCCACAAACCACGTGGCCCGGTTTTAATCACAATTTTTTTGTCTGCCTACCAGCTATACATGGGTTTAAAGAATTAAGAAAAGACTAAAAGAAAGACTCCACAAATGGAGGAACGGGTGAATAGAAAGGGCAAATTCGGGATTTTACTGTACAAAAAAGACAAAACGTAATGGTTGAAGACTAACTTTAGGGGCATTTTGGTCCGCACACTACCCTATAACAGTGCCACCCGAGCCATGCTAGGTAAACAATTAGGAAAGTTTCCAGGCAGTCGGTTCCTAACTAGAAATTTGATTTCAAGTTCTGACTGATTGCTTTCTTTCTTCTTAGTCCTCCAGGTGAGAATAATGACAAAGAAAATGACAAGGAGATTGCATGATATGAGATACTTTTGCTCCCATCCTTGATGATATGAGATATTCTTGATCTAAAGTGACTTATTTGAAGAGGTATTCTCGGAGAGGAAGAAAACTGAGTATTTCGAGATGCTTTGTTGAAGATGCATTCTCGGAGAGGAAGAAGAGTTAGATATTTTTGTAAGTTTGCCTTGTTATGGAAGATAGAGGTCGACATATATAGGGATTTCCCAGTAACAGGTAGTGGTGATGTGCCTTTACTCTTGTCAGCAACTGTGGTGTAATTAGAATAGTAAGATTCACGCGTTTTCAACTTTATCAGAGATCTTTGACAAATTTGCATGTGATATCCAAAAGCTGAGATTGTGTCTAAGAAATGTTGACGAACTTTATCCTGAAAATCTGGCTTTTGAAATTCGGAGAGCTGTTCTTTTCGATTTTTAAACAAGTGGTCATGTTGCTTCTTCTTTTATAGAGGCATTAATTGTGCTCAAAATGTATGCTCGAAAAACTGCTGCATGTAGAATTTTTCCTTTCTTGCACTTTTGAGATTTTATCTGACCTCATTTTTCCTTCATCATTTCTGAAAAATGGCTTGTCCATCTAACATTTGCTTAGATTTGAGTCTTAAGAGTGGTTCAGACGAGCCACGTCAGGATAATATATGGCGTCCGCCCTTCTTATCTTCTAATGGTCCTCTTATGGTTAGGGATTTTGTGATGAAGAATGACCTAACCGCTAGAGTGGTAGCTAGGAATCTTCTCACTCCTAAGGATAACACAATCCTTTCAAACCGGTTTGATGAGTCGGCCAGTTCAAGACTCATTGGCTCTCAGTATTCAATGTGCGCGCTCTGTTTCTAATATGGGCCAACACCTACTTGCTCGAACTCACCAAGTTGAATCATTGATGGCTGAGATGGCAAGTCTTAAACAAGAGATTAAAGGGCTCAAGCATGAAAATAGAGTGTTACACATGATCGTAAATAATTACTCGACGAGCATGAAAAGAAAGCTCGACCAGCTATTGGAATCTGAAGGTCGGACTCAAAATGACAATCAGGGGTTCGAGTCTTTATTCCAAAGACACCCATTGTCTTAGTTGTTTGAAGTTTCACCAAGTACTATGGCTCCAAATAATCAACCTCTGGTGCCTTCCCCTTCTGGGGTACTTCCGAGTATTGAGACTTCACATGAGCAACCTTTGTGAAGGTTCCCTTCTGTTTTTTTGTTTTAACTCATGTGTATGTAATTTCTCGGAGATATTAATAGATAAGCTTTATTTTATTCAATGTATTGTGTCAAATACAATAAAGCATATACTTCGCTAAGATGTGGTACTTCTGGACCAAATATCAATTTATCTTTACCTTCACAAAGATAAATGATCATTCTTAGTGTCTAAATAATTTGAGTATTCAACTCATAATCTTCAATCCATATGATTCTTTATAAACATCATGGATAAGATTCATGTTGACATATTGTTTGATTCTGCAATTTGAGACAATATCTCTCTCAGCACTTTATAAACTTTCTAAACTCTTCAGGAGTCTAAATCTAATATTGTTGACTCTTGCAAGAGATTTTAGTATGTTACAACAATATCATAATGATAGTACTCACTAATGCAATTTATACCATATGCTTTACCCTTCCACGGTTTTCTTCAAGCAATCTAAATTTTTCAAGGATTTTCTACACTTCATGACACATTTTCCTTTGGAATTTATACAGAGCAACTTGCTTCCATGTATATTTGAGGGATTTACTTATGGAGATATGATGTGGGAGACTCATAACCCTTCGTAGATAATTCTCCATTCATATGAACTTGTTTATAAGAGCATAATTTCAAGTTTCAAGTTTCAATTAGTAACCTTGTGTCATATCATGTAAGTGTAATTCACTGTATTACAAATGCTCATATGTAACCTCATTTGGTTCAACATCTTTTGGCTATTTGTATTACATACATGCAACAGTTATGCTTTGGGAATGCCATAGTTCAGCAGTGTCATATTCTTCTTCTTTCAAAGTACTGAACCTTTTGAATTTTTAGGCATGTAACAAATTTGTTACCACATTATTTTGTCCAACAAGAACATCAATTCATGTAGGCACATTTGCAACAAGTATATGTGATTTTATTACTTTCGTTGCATCATTAAATGCATCTGGCATTTGATTTGCATATCGTTGCATCATTCAATTATTCTCACTTCGTTTTTATATTGATTGCTTCATGAATCAAAATAAGACAATTTCTCTTTGTTCTTCTGGAATGATATTTTCTCATCATTCTTCTGGAACAATGTTATTTTCTTCTCCTAATGGCAGGAAAACTGTCTTATCAAAATCCTAGTCTGCAAGCCGCGTGGTAAACATATTCCCAGTCAAGGATTCCAAATATTGAATGATAGATGGTGTTCAACATCAATGCTTAATCGGCGATGATGCCTCATTTTAGTATGTTGTGCCAGTGCAATAGACACATAGATAACACAACCAAAAACACATAAATGTATAATGTTTGGCTGATTCCTAAACACGAGTTGTACTGAGAAATATTAAAGGTTGTTAATAGGTCTCAATCGAACTAATAATGCATCATGCAAAATAGCATGTACCCATGTAAAAACTGGTAATTTTGTTTTCATGAGCAAAGAGCGGGTAATCAATTTCATTCGCTTAATAAAGGCTTCTGCTAAACCATTTTGAGTATAGACATAAGGAACTTCTGGTCCTTATTTAATGGTCTATAGACTAAAACTCTTATGGCCTTTGTTATAATTAAGTTGAGGCACTGCGGCACTTCAAACTTAAGTACTCATCAAGGAACTTTATGTCTTAATCTTGAGGATCAAGGGACTTTATGCCCGATCTTTTTGTATGATAGAACTTCAGGTCCAATCATTTTTATATGATGAGGATCAAGAAACTGCAGGTTCTGATCTAATCAAGAGCTTCGGGGCCTTGTTATACTCATCATAACAAAAGAGAAGTACAATAAGTAAATTAAAGATATAGGCGGTAATTCTAGCCATAGTGAATAAATTGCATTCAAGTAAATAAAGTTTGTGACAAGGGCTTTAATTCAGCACCATTCACATAAATCAAAACTTAAAGCGGTAGGCGGTAAAACTGTCCGTGATAAATAAATTGCTTTAAAGTAAATAGAACTTGTGATAGGGCTTTTAAACCAACACTATTTACATAAATAAATATATATTTTTTTCCTTCTTTCTTTTCAGATGGTACAACACCATCCAAAAAGCCTTTACTTTTTATTATTATTCTTATTCATTCACATGCTGCACCATTCCAAAACAAACCTTTGGTTTTATTCCTTTTATTTTATTTATTTTATTATCTAGATGGTGTAGATGCACTAGGAACCAAAACCTTTTGTTTCTTTCTTTTTCAAATGGTGTCGTGCACTATTGACTTTTTTAGATGGTGCCATACATATTCCATAAACTTCAACCCTTCCCCCCCTTTTTTTTTTCTTTATCTGTCTCTACCAGTCTCGAAACCCAGGGCCAGCTGGGTTGTTGTAGAGGTTACACAAAATCAATTCAATCCAAAAAAACTACTAGAGACTGGCGTTGTTCTTGCATGGCCCAAAGAACATGACATCGTGAAGCAAGAACCTCCTTATAGGGACATAGATGACAGCAGAGTTAATGGAGGCACAAGAGAGGGAGGCCTGTGTGGAGTCAGTCATGCCACCACCATCTCAGATAACCGAGTATTCATAAGAGTTCTCGAGATCTGTCGAAAACGACGTGAACTGGGTTTCTAAGTCTGATGAGATTCTTCTGGATCTCTGGAAACTAGTTGTCAAGTACGAGTTTTCTTATCTCATGACGACTACAGGTCGTTGTAAATTTCAATTCTAACAAGAATTCGGTGGAGCGCTTCTGGCGTGGTGGGAAAGATGAAAAATAGGCATACCTTTGCTTGTTTTGCTGCACCTTTGTTTGTCTGTAAGATCTCTCCATCTCTTTTGTCCACGAGAGAAAGACGAGATTGCAGGTCTAGCAGGGATAAAGATCATCACATCAATAGTTAAAGTAATAAAAGAAAGGTTGATGGATTTTTGTGACAAAATGTTCTTCCCTGTTTGCCGTGTCTGGCTTGCCATCTCTA